TGCCAGAAGTCCTTTCTCAAGAAAGAGGAGACCATGGTCCATGATTCTCCTAATGTTTTAAATTATTATAATGAGATCGCTGTGTGATAGCAGTGGGGTTTTTTAAAGGAAAACTGAAGAATCATGAAGAATTCCCCTTCCCCTCAAATATTCAGTTATTCACACCTTAGTTTTGTTTGGTGGGGGCTTTCAGTTAAATATTTGTTCTTTTCCAGAATCTGTTCCGATGCCCAGGAATGAATTACAATATTTCTTACAGTGGCCAAATCAGTCACCCTTTGAAGAAAATGGGCATCTGCTCTCTTTCCACCTGGCTGAGTTAACCATCACTACCTTCACAGAAACCAGACATTAATTTATAGAGATATGAAATCCAAATATTGATTCATATTTAGTCTTACATGAGAACATTATTCTGAATCTACATTGACTCAGCTTCCACAAGTTATTTGTCTTCTCTTCTCCACTTCTTCCATTTTTAAAAAAAGAAGCGGGAAGGTTTTAGAATGTGCAGGGTGATTTTGCTACAGTTTATGTCACCCTGCAAGCTCCTTGTAGCTAGGGATGCTTGAGGATTTTGCTCTCTGATTTCTGAGGTGAACTTACCTGATTTGCACCTTGCAAACTAACACTTTATTATCTCTTGGGGTTCATGGCTCAAAAAAAGGCAGAGGGCCTTCTTGATAGTGGCACCCGCCCTGTGGAACGCCCTCCCATCAGATATCAAGGAAATAAACAACTCCCTGACTTTTAGAAGACATCTGAAGGCAGCCCTGTTTAGGGAAGTTTTTAATGTTTGATGTTTTATTGTGGTTTAAATATTCTGTTGGGAGCTGCCCAGAGTGGCTGGGGAAACCCAGCCAGATGGGTGGGGTATAATAATAATAATTTACATATTGAGATAAAAATGAAATACCAGTACATATTTTGTGATAAAATAATCTTTAAAATATGAATTCTGAAGGGGATTTTTATTTTAAAAATGACAGATTAAGCTAGTAACAGGCTGGAATGGATTTATGAAGAAACATGTGCAAAACTGATTGGGACCATCCATTTGTGCATGTGGCTTCTTTCTAGAGCTAACCAGGCTTATAAATATGTTGTTGGCACCTGTCTGTCTTGAGAGACAGTGGAGTGTGTCTCTGGAGGTGAAGTCAAACCACTGTATTAGCAGCAATGAAGTGACCTCCCTGGGATGTACAGGAACTATATTAAAAATGAAGGGTTTGTTCCCTTCGTTATTGGGGTGTTGGGGTAGAAACCCAGACCTCAGAAATGCATATCCCCATATGCCATCATGTGAACAATACTAAAAACAAATCTTTATTTTATAATGCTTTATACAGTTTTAAACCTGCCAGGGTGTGGGATTTGTTAGCTTTCAATTGTTGGAAGCTGCCCTGGGTGATGCAAATGCATTGGAAAGGTGGGATACATGGTTTTAAAGTAATAAACGCATAAATAAAAAGGATGCTGCTGGACTACAACTCCCAGCATCCTTGATCACTAATCATGCTCCTGGTGCTGATGTTTGTTGTAGTCCAAGAACACCTGAAGGGCCACAGGCTCTTCACTGCCCTATGAGGTATATATTAGCAGATCCTTCAAGATGCAGACATGACATTAGTACATGTTAAAAGGTGAGGATCTGTAGCTTAACGACAGAGCTCACACCTTGCACATCATCTCATGTCCAATTCCTATCATCTCAGACTGGATTTCTGTGAAATACCTCTTCTTGAGAACTTTAAAAAAAACACCCCTGTCAATCAGACAAGACAAAGGGGCTAACCTGTGGCTTTCTAGGTTTTGTTGAACCATAGCTTCCCTCACTGGCCCTGCTGGCTATAGCTGATGATGGGGCTCAGCATCATCTGGAAGACCAAAAGTTAGTCATTCCACAAGTAGACACTGTTGGGCCAAATGGGTCAGTGATCTTGAGAGTATAATCCAGCTTCAAGTTACAAGATGGATTCAAGTTACAAGAAAGGAAATTCCAACTAAACATCAGGAAGAACCTTTTGACGGTAAGGTAGTAGAATCTTCTTCATTAGAGGTTTTTAAGCAGAGGTTGGAAGGCCATCTGCCATGGGTGCTTCAGTGGATATTCCTGTATTGCAGGGGGTTGGACTAGATGGCCCTCGATGTCCCTTTAACTTCTACAATTCTAGTTTGGGTCAAAATATTGGGGAAGGAAAATGTATGTCAACTAAGCTTTTCTATTGCTTTAATATGACAAATTTCCCATAAGTATTCAAAGAAATTGCTTTGTTGGGATACTGGTACACAGCAGAACATAACAACTCTTAAGAATATGTCTTGCCTTTAAAATTCCTGGACTTTCTATTAAAATTTGTTTGTATGCTTTGGCTATACCCTAGTGATAACTCATCTAGTAGACAGTTGACTTTCTTTATAACTTATAACTATACCGTACATGTCAGTTCCTGGGGAAAAAATCCTTCTGTACAAATGAATTTTCCTGAGTGGAGTAATAACTGGGATTACCGAAGGGTTTAAAACAACTGTGATGTGTGCAATCAGTCTTAAATACCTAAATAAACTTTGTAAGTTCTCAGTTGGATCACACACAACCTCCTTTATACATTGCAATTAGTCTTAATTCTACACAAACCTTAATCCCTAAGGCAGACTGAGTTTGCACACCCACCGTCACAAAATCCAGTGACTTTACTGTGCCCTTTATTCACATATTCCATAGCTTATATGCCAATTAAAGACAATCTCTTCACCTTACTTTCTTCTATTTCAGACTTTCCTCTGTCCCCGCTCTGGGGAAACTTGCATTGGTTGCGTGGCATCCTCCATAATTCCTTACAACATTCCCACTACTTTCCTGCATTGTGTAAAAATGGCCCATGCCTAAGAAGGTCATATTAAAAATGTGAAAGCCAACAAATAAGGCAGCTCAAACAAATTCCACTGAATACAGAGAACTTGTTTTTGAAAATAAATAGTTCTCGTTGGCACCTGTCTGTCTCGAGAGACAATGGAGTGAGCCTCTGGGGGTGAAGTCAAACCACTGCATTCGCAGCACTGAAATGACCTCCCTGTGGTACAAGCCAGGGCAATATGTATGGGGGTCCTGCCCAGACAACAGGACGCCCCTAAATAAGCAAATTCATAATTCTGTCCTGCTTGATATCCACATCACAAAACATAGTGTTTCTAGACCAAGAACTCCAAAAGGTACACAATCCTCCCAAAACCTCTTAAAGAATTTTGTGTGTGTTAAGATTGTCAGAAAAATTCTTAAAACGGGGAGGGGGAAACCCTCAGTGCCTTGATCCAGTATGTGCATATGCTTAATTCTCCCCATAGGAGCAAGCTAGCCATACATTTCAATGGAGGGAGCAGCTATGCATAAACATTCTATAGCAGCCAAATTAAATGACTGGCCTCAATAGCTTTGAGTAAGCTATTAACACACCCCGATTTGCAGCTAGTCCGTCATACCCTTTGGGTGAAAGATTTATATGATCTGAAGAGAATCCTGAATATTCACTCATCTTACCCTTGGTACAATTGGCTACAACAGGTATTGGATAGGGCTAGCCACACTCCAATACTTGGAGTATTGGAGGCTCCAATACTTTGGCCACCTCATGAGAAGAGAAGACTCCCTGGAAAAGACCCTGATGTTGGGAAAGATTGAGGCCACAAGGAGAAGGGGACAACAGAGGACAAGATGGTTGGAGAGTGTTCTCGAAGCTACGAACATGAGTTTGACCAAACTGCGGGAGGCAGTGGAAGACAGGAGTGCCTGGCATGCTCTGGGGTCACGAAGAGTTGGACACGACTAAACAACAGCCACACATATATTTTAGGGATAGTTTAACTCAGAGCTTTCCAAACTGTGTGTCACGACACATTAGTGTGTCGGCAGCAGTGTGTAGGTGTGTCATGTGAACACCCCCCCGTACTCCTCCCGGGGCTGGCAATGGATTAGTTTTTCCACCAGTTTGTAGGTAAAACTGAATTACTGTGTCGCAAAATGATGCATGTCTGAAAAGCGCGTCACCAACATGAACAGTTTGGAAAACTCTAGTTTAACTCCTAAGAGAACGTCCCAGTTCTCTAGGACCCTACTGATGAAACATAATGAAAAAGTAAAGAAACTAGGTGTGTTAAGTAGATATGAGTGTGCCAACAAGATGAGGAGAAAAATCAATCAATTAATCTAGTAGAGATATGGAAGTTACCCAGTGTTTCTTTAAAGTGTCACACGTATGTGATTACCTGTTCACCTGGCAGAGGTTGCAGGCATGAGCCCTTGCAACAAGCACCTGGCTCTTAGGAAACTAAATTACTCCCTTAAGTCCAAGGTGGCAGACACAGAAAAGCTGAGGGACACACAAAGGTGCATAGATAAAGGCTTTCAGAGATGTGGTTGAGGCACCTCAGTCCCATGCTGATTGGGTCTTGAGACAAGAACAATTCATAGGAAGAGGGAAAAAATCATTTAGAAGGTATCCCTTTTTCAGGTGGTTCAATTCTGTTTCAGGTGGTTATAAGTGATACGAAGAGATGCGTCTAGGATAGAAATTTCACCTCACAGAAAGGAAATAAAAATGAGCACAAGTTCTGGCACAAAAAATGTAAGCAGATAGCAAGGCAAGAAAGAAAATAATCTGAAGGCTGTATTGTAAAGACATTGGGCTGGATTCAACTAGCCAGTCCCACTTGTGGGAAACTTGTGTAAGAACTTCTGCTGGAGCAACAGGGTTCATCTCCCTCAAAACTGTAGGGTGGGGGGGGGGGAGAAGGGAGATTGTTCCATCACAGAAGCAGAAACGATTGACAGAGTGCTCTTCCTAGCGCTATGCTGAATTTCTCCAATAAGATGAACAACAGAAGTTCTTAAACGATAAATGTAAGAGTTTTACACTGGGGCATAAAACCTGAAACACATGTCCATTAATGCAAGGGTAGGCAACATGGTGCCCACCATACGCTGTTCGACTACATAATCCCTGATCGCTTCTCGGCCTTTTGGCTAAGATCAAGTGTAGAAAAAAAATAATCCCTGATCACTGGCAATGATGGCTGTGTCTGATGGAAGTTTTAATCCAACAACATTTGGGAGCATCAAATTGGATACCCTTGCACCAATGGGTTTTGAGCTAGATGTGTTTCTCCAGGAAAGAGACTCCTCGGGCTCTCTGCTGCGTTGCTGTGTGGTGAGTTTACCAGAGCAGTGAGAAATTCAAAGCCCCCGAGAATGTGGAGCTAGTTTCAGAATTCTTTGGGTTTCCCCCCTGAGGTTTGGGATGGAAGTATAGTGGTTTAAGAGGTTGGACAAAGACATTGCTTCCCACAGGGCCCCATCACTAGGGCCAATTTTCTGCCCCATCACCAAACTTATATAACCTATTGGCTGAAAGCAAGATGAATACACATTGCATGCAATGTTTCCTGTCTTCAAACTGAATTCAATTCTCTGAAATAAATTACCTCTTGTTTAAGATATTATCATAATGCTTTTAATGAAGCTTTAGGGAGACCTTCAGCCTGAAGAGTCAAACTCTTTACTAAGGCAAAAGAAACGTTCTTTTTAACTAAAAGTGGGACTGCTTAGCTCTAAAAATGGAATTTCCAGTTTAAACTTAAAAATCTGTCAAATATAAACAGAACTTAATAAAATATTGTATGTAAGCAAAACATGAACAAAACTCACTAAAAGGTGCAGAACACAACCATGTATTTCTGCAATTAAAACAAACAGATTTTTAAAAGTTCTCAGAAATTCAGTCAATTCCCCCCCCACCCCAAATCAAAAGAAGTATTGCTTATTTTTCATGAAGTTAGTTTATTGCCTATACATTTATTAACCACCCCCTTCTGATTTTAGAGGGAAGATTAAAGTCAAACACCAAATTTCCGCAAGTTTCCTGAAACTCTAGAAAAGTCATTCTGTTTTGCAGAAAGGCCATTCATAAACCGGCATCAGACGGGGGGGGGGGGGGGAATGAAAAGCACTGATGTCCATAAGCCTAGCTTTGAGTCTGCTTCCTATTTAATAGACATTGTACTCTATAGAATGCAATCTGTGCTCTAACGGTATCATGTTTGCAGTTAAAAACCTCAAGACTTTAGACCTACGTATAAAAGATAGTCATATTATCCTTTTCTGAGACACTGACCTGTATCCTCATTTAAAAATGAACAACCCATCTTTATGTAATTAAATCTTTGTTTTGATCTATTAGTATTCAGCAAAGTGCCATTTTATAAAACCTCGCCCTGAATAGGCAATGCTGGAGGTAACCATCTGCAGCTTTAGAGTCCGAGTTTGAATTGATGAAAAGAGCTTTGTGTTTTCATTGCCAAGGTTGATTCTTCCAGTCATTAGGCATTCCCCTCAGATCGAATCAATGAAGCTGAAGCTCTTACACCCATGTGTTAAATTCTCTTCCCCTCATGGCTTCCTTTGCCAGCTATACTCCAGAAAGGCTACTGGATCTTAGCCACATTCTTCTCACAGCTGTGTTAAAAAAGAACATCAGAGCGCCTTGCCACAAACCCATATGGGTAACTGGTCAGTCCCCTGCCTGAGGGTCACCTCACATTGTGGTGCGATTATTCAAAGATTCATTCTTGTTCTTGAACTGCGCTGCTCAGATCATTCTGGGAAAGATTATACCCTCCAGTGGGCGCTGGCGAATGTCTTGGACCTTGGTGTGAAATGCACACAATTCCCGTGCTCAGAGAAGGCAGATTAGTATTTACTTTCTGAGGAATAAGATGCTAACACCTATTGAACAGGCTGCCCCAATGTGATTCCCTCCGCCATGCACATTTCATGTGTGAAATGGCAGTGCAACATAGAAAGCAGATCCCGTTATGCAAAATGCAATGAAAGAAACAGAACTTGTTCTGACACATGACTCTTAAAAGAGTTTAATTGCTTTTTTTGCAAAACACACAATATATTACAGGAAAATTATGTATGCAATTATGTGTTAAAATGAAATTATGCTAATCTTGTATGTGTGCTGCACACATGTGCATATTGTATCTTACAAAAATTATGATTAATAGTAAAGTATTACCATGTCCTAAAACATGTACTTTTATCACACTGAAATATAATCAGTTTTGATAAAGGGTAGTGCATGATTTAAATAAATGTATGATGATTGCAAGCATGGCCTATAATTTCTCTTAATTGTTTTGCTATTCTTTTTTCATAAGAAGCACCCATTTTATTGATTTTGTAATATATCCCATCTTTCCTACATGGACTGTGCACAGGAACGCTAACAAAGCAACACTATGCATGTTTTCCCAAATGTGCCACTGTGTTCAGAGGAGTTTACTCTCAGGTAAATATGCATGGGACTTATGCACCTTTACCTGGGAGTATGCACAATTCAACCATGAGACTTTTGGAGAAATATGCCTAAGATTATGCTAAAAAATCATCTACATAGTTATACACATTCATTCTGAGGTCACAAAGCAATGCACATTTATTTGGAAAGAATCTGCCATAAGATCAATGGAGCTTGTTTGCAAGTGAATGGGATTTGAAGTCTTGTTAATCAGAAAATAATGTTGGAGGGGGAATATTGTGCTATTCTTTACAGTTACATCAAGACAAGAACACCCCTATTTTCATCAATGAAATGTTGCACAGCATTTGAGCTTAACTCAATAAAATCTCCATGGGATTCTTTGATTGATCTTTGATCTAGCTTCTGGAGTAGCTGCACTACAAATTTATATTGCTTTAATTAAACTAGAAGTAGGATCCACAACAAAATGTAGCAAAATGCTGTCCAGCCATTTGGTGCTATCTTCCCTCTGTCCCCAAAATGTAGCATATTTGGTCACTCACTGGACAGTTTGGGGGTTATATCCACCTTAAGGGCTTTTCTAAAGTTTTCTTTTTGAAGTTCAGCAAAAGTTATAAGAATTAAACCTAGAGGTTCACCTTCCATGCTGAGGATACTTCCACCAGGTAGTACTATTTTCTACATACACAAGGCAGTATTCTAAGCTTCAACTTTGGAAACAGAGGTAATGATGTGCTCCTGCTTCCAATCCCATCCCCATGGTTGGAGCTGCATCCAAAACACTTGTGTCCCATAAGATTCCAACCCCATATCAACACACTCTTCCATGCCAAAGCATGCCTTGAAAACTTGTGGAATTTCAATTTATTGCCCAATTTACTATATCCTCACAAATTAAAATTAGTATAATGCAACTGCAATTTGAAAACAAACACTATAAAAGCAGGAGTAAAACTAGCCAAAAACCAGCATGAAACCATGCAGCAGCATAAAATCAATACAATGGCAGCAAGACCAACAAGGATAAATAAACAAAATAGTTATAAGAATTAAACACGTGGCATTAAAAGCATGGGAGAACAGAAAGGACTTTCCCCGGTGCTGGAAAATCCGAAGGTGCCACGAGAGCCTCTCTTATCTATAAAGTATTATCTATAGCAGGTGCAAACTTTAACTGACTAAAACAAATTCAAAAGCTCCATTCATATTAATGGATTAGAATAGCTCCCAAACACTATCAGAGAGGAGATTCCAGTATTCAACTGCTGCTCCTTCTGGTTCACAGGTGTACCATGCATTTATATGCTGGATCCCCATATATAAGCAGTGCTATAGTGAATTGGGAGCATCACAAAAGCTATGAGATTGAGAAGCCCAAGGTTCTCATTGAAGTGGTCTACCTATTTTAGTAGGTACAGACCTGCTTCTGATGCTGCAGTCACACACACATCCTGGCCATGGTGATCTAGCAACCTCAAGGTTGGACTCCCGTAATACTTCATCACTGACGCTGTTACAGAATGCAGATGCTAGGATAATAGCTGAGGTTGGATGTTGCAACCTATCTTATTGTGCTTCAAGAGCTACACTGGCGACCAGCCTTATGATTAGGTGTCTACTTCAGGAAACTGATTTTGGATGTCATGAAAGGGCAGGGAAATGTTAGTTATTTACTTCATTATGGTTACATTTTCAGTGCCAGGAAAGGAATGGGTGCTTCTGGAGCCAACATAATTTGACTGACCTATGCACCTTGGTCCTCAGAGAGGCTTGTCTGATAACTCAGAGACAAAATTTGTACAAACCACTTCAATAATTGTCTACTGAAGGGTGGTAGAAAAACCTGATGGATAAATAAATCCAGGTTGACTATGTATTTTCTCTAACAGATAGGTGAGCAACTTAACAAGTATTCAAACTATAAAATGACTAAATATAATGAGGACTGAATCACATTATCAGTCATGCTGGCTGCTTCCTCCTTCAGCCCTTGGTGGATTCCCTGCTTGAGATGAGAATGTTTGTAACATAAGCATTATCTGTAGCTCTGCATGCTGCTGCAAGCCATCTCTCTTTTGTGTTGGGTGTTGAAAATACTTGCAAATGTTTAGATCACATGGTTTTCTTTCCATTAACACGGAGAGCGGCCATGACAAGTGTAGCAGCTGGGAGAAGCCCAGATGTTGTGTGACTCAGCCCTGACATCCCTTGGGGTTCTGAAAAATGATTAAGTTCATTTATGATGTTAGCTGCCTTTGGATTGAAGAGGAAAGATGGGGTATAAATATTTTAGAAAGATCCATAGCAATATTTGCTAACCTTCTGCTATCACAGTATATTACGAAACATTCCAATATATAAATAATAATTTCACTATTTCTTCCAAAGATTATCAAGGCACTATCATGGGTTGGCACCTAATAAAAAGGACTTCATCCCACATGCATGTTATACTCTTAAGAAAACTTCAAGCCATAACTATTAATAGACAGATGTGATGGAAAATTAAGGATATTAGAAATCAGGTGGGTTGCATTGATTTTCATTATTACTTATGCAAAGCATACACTTTGCATTTTTTAAAAAAATGGGTAGGAATACCTGGTTTCCCCATTACAAATGATAACTACTATCTCCTTGGGAAATGGGGATGGAGTTGGGCAAAATTAGCGTGGTAGGAAGTCTTTCAGTACAGGGATCAGTCAGTTCGTTTTAAAAATGCAGAATATTTTATATCTTTCTCCCGCTCTCACATTAATAAAGGCTAAGAAAAGTAGTTCTGGCCTAATTGAAAAATACTCATTTATATGAAGCCGTTGAGGTTACAAAGAAACTG